CAACAGGGACTGAAACAGCCTGAAGACTTTGTGCATCTTACGTAGAGGACACAATTAACTCTTAAATTCACCTTAGCACGAGCCACCGTTCACACTGTGAAAAGCAGGCAAGACAACACAGAGGAGAATCAGCAGGCTTCACATTTGTCAGAGTCTGCAAATGAAACCATATTTTAAAGTAACTCTGAAGGGGACAACAGAGAAAGTCTTCAGTGGGAAGAGAAGTTCCCACATGATAGCCAGAAGGTGGAGGTGGGGGAAGAATGGCCGCAAGCTTTTCAGAGCCAGTCTAGCTGTTCTGCAACTTCTGAAGAGAACTCTTAGAGGTGCAAACCATCCTATATCATCTCCTATCCTCAGACACAAAGAAACAATTTAGGGAACTTTCCTCAGTGGAGAGAGTTCTCGTCTCATTCCCAGTTTTCCCAGTAGGAGAAAGCAATCTGACCCAGGATTACTAGTGGAGGTTGTTTGAACAGAGGTGAGTTGCTCCCTAAGCCATCTTCCTGTTACTGCATTGCATTAAAAACACACAGATAATATTGAAACCAGTAATTCTGTGTCCTTTCAAAGAGAATAAGGAGACAGTCACTTAATTAAATTGCTACAGTGCATAGACCCAGCTCCATGCTGAGTCTGCCAGGGAACTTAACAGTAGATTCCTCTGCAGGACTAATACCAGTTGAATTAGGGCATGTTTCGGTGGTTACCTGGCTTCGGGTAAGCCAGTGGGAGATTTCTTCTTTAGATTTGACACACCCTAGCTTTAACTTTATGCACATTTTAAAAGTGGAAGCGGGTAGCCAGGGTGAAAGCATTTTACATACAGCCAGTCCTTTGGAGAGGTGACGTTCAGCACGTAACACAACAGCTCAGTGAAGCCGAGGAAGTACACTGGCAGTAAATGAGCGTGTCACAACGATTTGTCTCAACTCCTGCAGAGGCAATTTAGCCTCATTTTGGTGACAGTGTATCAAGAACACACAGGAATTCACTGTAATGTCAGCGAACTTATTTATTTATTGCTTGTTAATATGCACAGTAAAGGAAGACCCGATGTGGTTACCTCCTGAGTACAATACTTCTGTAAAGTCTGATATTGTGGCTTTTGATGTAATAAATCAAAGGTGCTGCATTCACAAGCCACGGGGTGATTTTCCTAACTGCCTGAATTACAGATATGCTCCCTGGCTGTCCTTTTTTCTGTCCTTTCCAGCATCACATAATATAGACCTTGTAACTGGAAAACAGCCAGGGATGATGCGAGGACAGTGTAAAGGGGAAAACCAGTTATGGATTGCTCTCTCACAGCCCTTCAGCCTTGCAGGAGCAAGAATTCATTTGTGGCTCTCTAGCACACAAGCACGAGTGGAAAAAAACCCATAAAGGATCAGGTATGTTAAAGAGGGATGCAAATTCTTTTTTCCTGTTGCATCACCTGTCACCACAAAAATGTCAGCCTTCAGCGCTGGACATCCCATCGCCTGGCAGAAGGATACTGGTCAGTAAATGCCTGAAGTGGAAAGTACAGGCTGTGCCTTCAATATTTTCCCTCCAGTCACATCAGAGTGACTCCTTCCAGGAGCACGACACCCTCCCAGTACGCTTCTCCACCCAGCATCAATGCCTCTCCTCTGGCTGGCAAGCCAGGGCTCCCTTCTCTGCCTCATCCCCGATTTCTCCCTAGAAGCAGCACTGAATTGGTAGGGAAAAGACTTAGGTGGCCAGAAGCCAAAGCCTGGGACCCGACAGCATCACAGTCTGCACGGGGCAGGTAAGCAGCTACTCCGGTGTCACCGGACATATGTACGGATGAGGGGTACAGCCCTGAAAACCTCAGTGAATCTGCACTTAAGAGCCCCTGAGCTCTAACTGTACCTCTGCTGCTAACTTCATTCACCTTTGTACTATTTATACCTTTGCTTCCCAATTCATACCACAAAGATAACGGCGTCACTCTGACCGTGCTTGTCGTATGCTCTGTAAGCACCTCACAGTGCTGCAACTGTAGAGTGGGTAATTATCAGCCAGCTGCTTGCTTAAAGAAGGTGGGAGAGGCTGCAAATCCTCCCCAATAACCACACGGTGAGCACTCAGGAGGGGACTGAGGCCAGCCAGAAGCTCTCCTCTTGACAGGCTGTCCACAGCACCCCTCCCAATCCAGCCTTGACTTGCTAAAGGTCCCATTTTGACCGAGATAATCTGGTTTGTAATTAAGAGGACTGGTAGAGAGCAGTACAAAGCCTTAGGCACAGGTTATTCACTGCAGCACATACAGAGATGGCTTTCCTCACCTCCACCACCCTTGCCTCTGGCAATGTTTAATTCTCCAAGTGGTGGTGGGTTTTGTTGCTGGACAGTCACCCACCTGTCCTCCAGCTTATTTTACAGAGGTGATGAGGAAGCCATCAGAGCCGAGTCAGAGGCTCCTCCAGACTGAATCTGCCTTTAGGTAACACCTTTTGCAGTGCATAGCTCTGCTCTTCCTTCTGGCAGTGACACGGCCAGATATCCCAGTGCAAAAAAAAAAAAAAAAAAAGTGCAAAAGTGGCCCCGGCATGTTCTGCCCACAGTCAGCACAACGCATCCCTCCCTTCAGCTTGCATCGATGCCACCAGGTTACTTATAAGCTCTTCTCTGCACATGATCCTCCCTGGACCCAAATCCACAGCATCCTCAGGTTGTCTTCACCTTGTGTTGCTACTGTTTGCTTGACATGGTGTAGCATCAAAAGATTGCCCTGTGTTTGATATTATTGCCTGCTCTTGGGAGGCTGGGACTGCTGTGATCTTCAGGAAGTGTGCCAGGAAACGTGCCCCACAGAAGTGCTGATGGCCAGGGGCGTGCAGCAAGCTGTTTCCTAGAGGGGATCAGGCAGAACAGGGTGAGCTGTGTCCGACTCGGGGGGGTTACACCAGCTGGAGCATAGGCTGATAAAGGGCTTTTGCAGGAGCACTTGTGTTTGGCAGACAGACTAGAGAGGAAAGGAAAGAAGAGGCACTTCCTAAGCTACGGTCTGTAGTTCACTTTAACACTGACCGTGGTGTCTTGGCAAAACATGGCTTAACACAAGCAGCTGAAGCAAACAGATCTGGAGTGATCAGCAGAGAAGGTCTGCTGGACTACAGGGAGCATTCAAACTAAAGCAAAGCCGCTAAACTGAGGGAATTGCCTACACACAACTTTCCCCCACTTTCCCCACCAAAGGGCAAATCTCCCTTCTGACCCTAGCACCCGATGGCGTAACTTTTGCGGAGCTGAATGGCAAGTTGAGATCAGAAGCCCTCCCCCAACAAGAGTCACTTTTCGTCCCCCGAAGCAGAATCCTTTTGTGACCTCATGATTTGATAGAGAGTTTCCCTGAAATGCTGGTCCCGGCTCAGTCTTTTGGCTGCTTCTTTCAGCTCCTCGATGTTTTCAGCTTCTGCGTGTGAGTAGATGAAGGACTGGGACTGCTTCACTGAAACAAGAGCAGCACAGAAAGGTCAGCACTCTCCATCAGGGACACGAACTGAAGACAAAGCTTCACTAGAGCACACGAGCCACGCGATCAACATGACTGAGAACTTGGCAAGGGATTAGCTACCCATTGCACTCTGACAGCTTCACCTCACTGTTTTCAGAGGAGGAAAATGCTGACAGCATGGAAACACACTTTTCTTCTTTACAGCTGCCTCCAGTTTAGGGTTCTACATAGAACCGGATCTAACCTTGCAGGTAGCCACTCTGAGCACTGGATTGGATTGGACAATGCACAGGTGTCCCTTCCAACCTAACTTAGTCTATGATTAAGCATTCACATGAAGTCAGCTTTGAGCATATGAGGGTTTTAGGGGCCCAGGACTGTCACAGCAGTTACCTTTCAACATACATGAAGAGACAGGTGACCAGTATGCAGATTGAATGCCTGCTGTCTAGGTAAGGAAGCTCCAGGTTTCTCTGTAGCTTCGTTCTACTACTAGGGAATATGAAATACAAACCCCATTTTCAGACCTTACAGCTCTGTCAGCCCCATCTGCACATATCTGCTCTCGCAGGATATAGAGTAAGAAGCTGCTTGATACCTACAGTCATTCCACGAAGCACTGGCTCTCCGGCGGTGAAAGCGACAGCTCTTTATGCGACGAGTGGCAGCCTTTTGGAGGTACACAGAGTTCTTCATGATCACGGGCATCTTGGCCTCCAGCTCAGCATTGCGGATGCACTCTTCAAAGAACTCTGAGGAGAAGACACCACTGTGAGCAGTGATGGGAGAGACACTTCAAGCAATGAACCAGTCACAAGGACTGCATTTGGTGATGGGTTGATCCAAGTAATGACATTCAGCACCTCCCTAGATCTTCACAAACAACAATCCATGAAGCTCCAGAATATCATCAGAATGAACAAGTTCAAAGTGACAATAACCTCCAGTCCTCAACAAATGCATACTCAAATTATAGAAAGAACTGCAACCAACCATTCCCCATCAATCATTCCCACAACTACTCATGATTCAACTGCCAAAAGCCTCTCATATTATGATAAAAGTTCTCAACTGTCTTGCAACAGAGAGGTCTGAAGCCTTGCTTGTTGCACTTTCTTTGAAGGACTTTCAAAACCAGTCAAGTCCAACTGCAGAAAGGGAGGTGTAGGCAACACTGGCATGAGCACACACACCCAGGCCATGCATCACCAGGGATTTCTTAATACCACAGCAAATACTAGCGCATACGTACATACATTACAGGCTCCATGCAAAGCCCCGTGTCCAAACTCTGAGAATGTCCTTCTGTCCCAGTCTGCCACACAAGCTGCTTTTCCTGGTCCATTTCCTCTCTTATGGTCTAACCAGCTGTATTGGGTTTTACTTGGCAGGAGGGGTTACAGGGGGCTTCTCTGAGAAGCTGCTAGAAGCTTCCCCTCTGTCTGACAGAGCCAATGCCAGCCAGCTCCAAGATGGACTGACCCACTGCTGGCCAAGGCTGAGCCCATCAGCAATGCTGGTAGCACCTCTATGAGAATGTATTTAAGAAGGGGGAAAAAGATACTGTGCAGCAGCAGCCAGAAGAGAAGAGTGAGAACATGTGAGAGCAACAACTCTACAGACACCAAAGGTCAGTGAAGGAGGGGGAGGTTCCCAAACCTGACTCAAGCCAGATACAAAAAGGCAAAGGATCAAGGATAGACCGAGGAACCTGAATCTTACACCTGACCTGTGAACTGTAGTCAGCACAGCACAGCAGTGCTGGGCTGATGCAGTGATTCAGCTCTGAGTAAGGATCCAAACTTCACCTGCTGGGTCACCTACCAGCAAGTTGCTACAGCAACCACGATGCTCCTTAAACTGCTCATGTTCTCGTAACCAAGGCTGAGAAAATATTACCTTGAGGGGAAATCAGAGGACTCTCTAACTCAGACATAGTCAGTCTTTACAGCTTTGCCACAGCTTCCCTATTTGACATTTTGGAAAGCATTTGCTCATCCCTGCCCCTAGGCTTGTCTTCCACCCAACAGGGAAGGCTGGGATAACTTTGACCTCCTTTGAGGACAAAACACCAAATGCCTACATAGCACACTCTGGCACCTCAAAAGGAAGGTGCAGTTGAGATGCAAGAAATTTGGAGTGCACATTATGTGCAGATTTGCTAATTTGGGAACAACTTTTTGTGTCTGGGAAGACAGGTAGAATTATTTCCTCTCTCAGAGCTTGCTCATGAATAGAGAGGATGGATGACTGACTTACTTCTCAAGTTGCTGACATCTGCTTTCATCCTCTCCTCTTTCTCCTTGTTGCAATCCAGAGAATTTAAGCCTTGCTCCAAGCTCTGCAACGCTTCCTCAGCTTCTCTCAGTCTTTTCTCCAGATCCATGCGCACCTTCACCTCAGCCTGAGGAAGAGAATATGCATTGCTGAAAAACAGCTTATGTGCCAATAACCATCCTGCTAACTCACAAGGTCTTTGAGGGATGCACCAAGCAGATGAAAATGAAGACAACAGTAAGGAAAACCAGTAGGAATATTGTAAGACAACAAAAAAGTGGTTCCTCCTGTCTTCAGACAGAATCTGAGTTTGAAGTCCAGACTATTTGAGTAATTCTCCTTTACTCTGATTTTAGTTTTCACAGCTTCCTTCTCATTGTATGAACCAGTTGGAATCAGAGATGGTATTTCAACACATGAATTTGTGCTTCTGTGAGTACTTGCATCTGAGCAGGAACAGGAGGACATCTTTCCAACTGAGACGGAATTGAGATAAAGACAGTCAGTTCCCACAAAGGGGTGTACAGTACTTAGATTCAGAAACAAAAGAAACAAGAAAAGTTAGTCAGAAGTAAAGGGTGATATTAGCATTTGCTAAGCTACTACTGATGTCTATTATAGTTTAAGTCAACTTAGCTTTAGTTTGGCCTAGTGGAAGGTTACAAGGTGTAAAAATTTTGGGAGGTACAAGAAAAAGAAGAATTGGGGGTTTTTTTGGACAAAATATTCGTAGAAGGAGGTTGAGTGTCAAACAGCTAATAATTTTCCATTACTGTGATAATGAAGGAAGGCTGGTACCTCACCTGCATTCCTCTGCTTGTGAACCCAAGCTCACGCAGAGGTTCCTGAAAATTTGCAAATCTTAAGATTGATTCTCTGAGCACAAGTGAGGAAGGAAGATTTCTGCTGAGTTCTGCAACGTCCATACAAGCATTTCTTTGAAATAATCTTTATTATTTTACTTCTTTTTTTTTTTTAATCCCTCCATCTTTAGATGAAGCTTTCACAGTAGCAAATGAAAAGACTTTTACAGAATGGGTTAATCAGGCCTCAGAATGAGAAAATAAATAGTAGTGCTACATAGATACAACATGGCAACTTCACATGTTAGCATGACATGAAGCATAGCAATTGAAGATTTGCAACCACAAAATGAAAACAAAATAAAACCAAACTCCCCCACTTAATAGGGGATGAACTGAAAGGGAAAGTGAGAGAACTCTGAGCCCAGGGACAGCAATATGTGACATATGCAGGGGATACCTTGAGGTCTCTCTCTGTCTGCTGCTTCTCGGCGGTCAGCTCTGAGAGCGAGTTCTGCAGCGCTTGTGACTGGGAAGAGTAAAACTCCCGCTCCTCCTCCAGTGCTCGGGACCGCTCCTCGTTCTCCTTCATCCTGGTGCATGGCACAGCAAAGGAAGATGATCATTCCCACCCCAGCACAACTCACAGGAAGGAAGGGGGCTCAGTATCATGGTGGGTCATGTGTAACTACCCAGCTGCCCTGAGCAAAGAGGCACTAACAGGAGCTCTGTCTATGCCGCACTTCAATAACGCGGGCATTGCTGGAGGAAAAACAGGTGGACGGTTCTTTAACGGGACATTCTTAGCGCCCACAAGAGGTCGAGGAGCACCAAATACTTCTTATGCACAAATCCGTGAACACCAAATGGATTCACATGTCTTAGCCCTGACGTGAAAGGAGCAGGCCCAAGCGGCAACAAGGAGTTCAGCTGCCCTGCCTCCCTCTGCCCATCCTCTCTGAAGCGTTTATAGCCTGAACTCCTGCCAGGGGAACCAGACAAGCTTCCAGACTTGTCTTGTGTTGGCAACCAAAAAGCAAGTCAGCAAATAGCCACATCATTTGGCACCACTAAGCCTGAGCAGGGCAGAAGTGTCCTCTTCCTTTTACTACACCCAAGAATGGAAATGATAAAGGATCTTGGCTCTCTGCAGGTCTCAGGATAAACAGGGGAACAATTTTGAAGATATCTTAGTTTCAAGCCTGGAAATATTTAGCCATACACTTTCGGATTGCCTCCCACCTGTAAGGGGGAAAACTTCCTCTTTTCCCACCACCCTCTTCACACTGGATGGTATCTTGTCCCATAACCCTGCCTCTGGCATCACTGCAAGAGCCCCTGCCCCCACTCCACCTCTTCTCTGCCAGGAGTTTCTCCTCCAGAAGTTGCTGCATCTTCTCTTCAATCTGTCGCAGGCTGCAGTGCAGTCCCCAGATGGGGCTTTGCTCCTTGCTGGGGCTGGTTGGAGGTGGGAGCTGGCTCTCATTTTCTTCCAACATCTCCAGCATTTGCTGCTTTTCCAGGGAGAGCTCCTTGAAGAAGGGCAGAGATTGTGAGTATCAGCCAAGTCTAAAATTCCTGCTCCTCTTCCTGCCTGGATCCTCCCTACCGAGTCCCTCCATCCTGACATCCACATGCCTCATTCAGGTTAAAAACAGGAGAAACAAAATATGCCTCTTGAGGAGCAAGCCTCCCCCATAGCCTTCACTACGCAAGAGGATGAGAACTTGGAGGCTCCTTTGATGTGATATGCTTGTGAGATATGCTCGTTGGGGGGTCGGACTAGATGGTCTCCAGATGTCCCTTCCAACCCTGACCATTCTGCAAGGACCCAGCTCAGGGACTGGAGCCTTGTGCTTCTCTAGTGCATCACCAATGTGGGCAGCTTCCTCGCTTTCCCTCCTCCTCCCTTCAGGTGTCTCCTCACCTTGCTCCTCAGTGTGAACTAGAGGCATGCCCTCTGTGGTACTTCTACCTACGGGGTGGTAGGGCGTATCATGCTGTTTTCCTGTGAAGTGTTCAGTCCAGTGTGCAACTAGAGCATGAATGCTCCTTCCCTAACTTTCCAGTTCTTTTTTCATACCCATAACCGTGGGCAAGGAGAGTTCAAAGAAACACCGGCAACAGATTTTTGGACAAATTTGCAGGATCTGGCATGAACATTAAGGATGACATTGAGGTTTCAGCAGGCCAGCTGCGTGGAAATATCACAAATTATACACATTTAGAAAGGCCACCTTCCACCAATCCACCACAGTGATACCAAGTAAAGAAAGGCTTTAACATGTCAACACCCTGTTTCCTAAATTCTCATGTGGTACACGATTCCCTAGGAACCATGCTCCCTTCTGTGAACAAGAAATGCCTCTATGCTGCTCCACTTTCCACCAGGACTTAGGGACTTGCAGCTTAAAAAAAAATAATCAGAAAGCTACCACAGAATTATAGCCACGTTGGCTGGAACAGACCTCTACTAGGCTTCAGCCCAACCTCCTGTTCAGAGCAGGCCTGTCAACACAGCAAGATATGGTCAGCTGTGGCTTTCTACGGTCAAGTTGTGAAAACCTTCCAGGATGGAAATTACTCAGGCTCTCCCATTGTCTGTGAGGCCAGCCCTACCTGTCTGGTGAAAAATCTCTCCCTAGTGTTCAACCTGAGCTTCCCAAACTGCAGTTTATGGTTGTCACCCTGCATCACATAGCACACCTGGCACTTCTGAAAAGAGTTTGGTTCTGCTGGGCTCCGTGTGACTTCTGGTCCTTTTCTGAAGGGGATTTTGGTCTTCATATCAGCTACTGAATGAATCTTTCCACCCGCATGGGGCTTAACTCCAGCACTAACAGCTGTTAGATTCATTCCATGGGACAGCATTGCTTTTAACCCTGGTCAGTTCTCATGGATCGTTCCCAAAATGCTGTCACTCAGAGGGGAGAAGTGGTCACTCACCTCTAGGGTTTTCTGTAAGGACTGTGTCAGGCTTCGCAACTCTTTCTTTTCTTCCTCCACTCCTTTAAGGGAGCGGGCTGTGAGCTCTAGCTCCCTAAAGAAGCAAAAAGGGTGACAGCTATTGCAGGGGCACAGTAGCCCCACAGACGCCACTCAGACTGTGCAGGCTGTGCATCTCTTAGTGCAGGACCTGCGACCGGTGGTTGCTACAGGCAGCCCTGGAGAGTCAGGAGCTTGCCAGGAAGCATCACACCTTGAACACACTATGGGTGTCCAGGAACTTTACTGTGCCTCCTGATCGTCCAGACAAAACCAACTATTAGTGTGCTGCTTTAGCAAGGGCAGGGTCACAGCTGCAACTGGAAGAGCTCGGACAGGGCAGTCACATCTGAGCAGGTGTAGGTCTATGAAAACAAAAACCGTTTGCAAAAATCACACTGGCTTTTCTGAGATGGGAGAGAAAAGGAGAAAAAAAAAAAAAGGCAATGGCAAAACATGCCCTTTCAACACTCAGGGCAAAATACTTGGATCTTTCCCTTTCTAAACACATTTACCGTTCATACTTTTCATACTATAACTCTTAAAATGACAAAATCATTGCTAGTGAGGCAACTTCATCATCCACCCAGTGTCGTTCAGCTAATGGTGGAAAACCAGATTCAAATGCCTGCAGCCCACATGGCTGGTCAGTCAATCAAACGAATTGCCTCCCTGAAATCCTCTAGCGCTTGTCTGTTGCCATGCTACCCTGACTATTCTGGGGTTTGTTCACATCCCAGCCCTTTGAAAATGAAGTTGCTGGAGCCCCGGAGGCAAAATGAAACAAAGCTAAACTCTATTGGTCACACAACTGATAGCAAATGCAGGTAAACAGATCTCAACAGTTCCTGTTTCAGTATAGCATTTATCTCCTTCCCACATGCACAAAATAGGTGGATTTTACAAACTGTTTTGATTCACCACCACTGCAGCACTTCTGCCCAGTGTGGGACTTGGTGTCCTCTTCCTGCCCTGTGCAGTTTGCTGCCTTACCGTCTGATCTGTTCCTGCTCCAGCCGCAGCTCCCGTACCACCTCTTCAAACCGGTGCTTCTCTGCTTCCAGGACCTGGTTCAGACGCTCAAGTTCCTGGACCAAAAGAGAAGACAGGGATGTACTCTACTGACATGCTTAAAGCCTTCCCTGTTACCAATGCCCGGGACTTTTAACCTGAGCTACGTAGAGCCATGGGGTGTCTGACTCCACCACACTTTTGTCCAGGGGCAATTAGAAGGGATTGAAGGTCAATGGAGGATTTCTGGACATCTGGAAGTCCCAGCCAGGTTACCAGGCACCTGGAAATCCCAGACATGCTCCCTGCACAGATCATCTCTGCTGCACATATACAACAGGTCCAAAGCTCCCTGGGAAAGCTGGACTCAATACGCACGTACCATTTCCAGGCACCCACATGGGCAGGTACAGAAGCCCGGACAGGAATGTGACAGCCCCAGCACTGCTGTGCCTGAAGTGTGATATTTCTACTAGCTCAGCCTTGCTTCCCATCCCCACCGGGACAGGAGAACACGAACTGCACAGTTAGAGCTTTGCACAGCCTCTCACTGTCTTTGAGCTAATAAAACCGTGCTTAAAGAGCACTGAACACCACAAGCTATCCTCAAGCAGTGAAGCAGTCTCTTCCCCTAGTCTAGAAGAACCAGTTGTATTGAGACCTCCTGTGGATGGATGAAGACAGGGACAAAGTACAGCGAGGGTCCTGCTGCCGGTCAGGTCCCTTTGCAGCCTTAGCTGTGAGGCAGAACCCCTGCCATAGGCCCAGGCAGGTCGCAAGACAGCACTGACACCAGATAAAGTCATAATAAGACTCTGGTTCCGTGGCGCAGATACATGGTTCAAGCTGCTTTCCCAACATACTGCTCTGAAGCCTTCAAGGCTCACAGCAGGTGAGACCGCCACAGCTCAGCGAGATATATATTCATTCCCTCATCAGTAACAAACTCCTTCAAACTAACCTGGCCCCATCTGCTCTTTGTGGGCAATGGAGATACCATGCACAGCTTTGTAAGAGCAGAGATTTCTTCCAGGGTCTTTGGACAAGGGCTTTTCCCTCCCTACAGCTGCGGGTTGTGCAGCAGGCTACCTCACCAGAAAGGGATGTCTCCCCTCCAAAAGCATAAGCAGCTTAGCCCTAAAGGAACTTCCAAACCACCTTTGGACTTTAGCTCTTCAGAAACGTACACAGGAAAAACATAGGACTGAGAAGCCTAGGTCAGCATTGCTGACTTTTGCTAACGAGGGGCAACAGTCATTTTGGCTTAACTGGAGAAGAGAACAGGTGGCAGTCCGCAAGACTGCGATGTGGTGGGTCTACATCCACACAGGATTTCCTGCTGTGTAGTAGAACAACACATTTGCAAAGCTATGTTGCAACAGATGATGATGCTACAAAAACTGGTAAAGATTTGGTATAAATATGAGGATGAGCTCCTTTTATTACATTAAGCAAAAATAGGTTAGGAATAGTTTGGAAAACAATAACAAACTTGATAAATTAAGGTACAATAGTCACATCTAAGGGAGTGCTCTCTCTGGCTTCCCCTAGTGCAATGTCTATTATTCTCCCCATCTCTGGTCTGTCCAAAGAACAAACCACGTTGCTTTTTGCTGCTCCTTGTTTCTCACTGCAGTATCTCTACACTAGAACAACATCAGTTCCGTTTGTTTGCTTTCAAACTGTGGAGACAGACACATTTATTGCCAGAGTCCTCTTGAATCTGCCCAATAACAAGTGTTTAACTCAACCCAGTGAATATAAATTTAATCTGATCTTCCTCCCTGAACAGAATCACAAGCACGCTGCATAGAAAGCGCTTGGGAAGGGGAGCAGGGATACACCTCCAGGACCCATCCCATGGCACAACTCTTATTCCTCTCTTCATCCCCAGGGCCCAGCTGGAGGCTCCTCAGCCTCCCTCCATGAAACATGTTGTGTTCTCAAACCAACAACTCCTAGTCTCCCAGTCCTGCCACAGGGAAGTCAAAGGAAATTGGCTTGTGAAGAACGCTCACCTCTTTTTGCTCCCTCTGCAGACACAGCTCTTCTGTTTCTTCCATACAGTTATCTGCAAACACACACACACACACACAAAGGCCAAATGCAGAGAAAAGCAATTTATATCCTGGGGATATTTATGAGTATGAAACATTGACTGGAGCTTGAAAACGCAGCATTCCCTATTGCTCTGCAGGCATCTGTCTGGGAGGCTCCAAAGGCTGAGATGACACTAATGGGATGTTCTGTAATTTCCCTCCTGCCAAATAACTTAATAAACTAAACAACCATATTGCTGTGTACTGCTTCTAAGGGTTCCTCTCAATGTTCTTAAAGAGCTTTAACAAACTAACCTTTGCCATCCTCTATCTGGATCAGGAAAATAACCTTATCTCTGCTTCACACACGAGGAAGCAAAGGCACAGAAAGGTTAAGTGGGTGCACAGGGTCACACGCTGCGTAGCAGCAGTCAGTTCTCCTCCTGCAGCTCAGCGCCCCATCCCTACCCGCCTGGCACATCACCCTCTCCTTCAGCACCCTGGGTGTCACTGCCAGCACCCTGTTGTCACCTTTGGATGTTCCAGCCAAGCCCAGAAATCAATCCCTAAATTTAACCACAAAACTTTTAGCTGTGAGGAATACTTCCTCTCAACATAGAATCATAGAATACTTTGGGTTGGAAGGGACCTTTAAAGGTCATCTAGCCCAACCCCTCTGCAATAAGCAGGGACCATCTTCAATTAGATCAGGTTGCTCAGAGCCCCGTCCAACCTGACCTTGAGTGTTTTCAGTGATGGGGCATCCACCACCTGTCTGGACAACCTGTTCCATTGTTTCACCACACGCATTGTAAAAAATTTTTTCCTAACATCTAGTCTAAATCTTCCCTCTTTTAGTTTAAAGACACTACCCCTTGTCCTATTGCAACAGGCCCTGATAAAAAAATTTGTCCCCATCTTTCCTCTAGGCCCTCTTTTAAGTGCTGAAAGGCTGCAGTAAGGTCTCCCCAGAGCCTTCTCTTCTCCAGGCTGAACAGCCCCAGCTCCCTCAGCCTGTCCTCATAGGAGAGGTGCTCCAGCCCTCTGATCGTTTTTGTGACCCTCCTCTGGACCTGCTCCAACAAGTCGATGTCTTTCCTGTGCTGAGGACTCCAGAGTAGGATGCAGTACTCCCGGTGGGGTCTCACATCCATTGCTCTTGTCTGCTGAGAAGGATGCGTGCCCACCAGAGACTCTGCTCTGATGCTCACACTGTGACCTGATGTACCTGTGATGTCCTACGCTCTAACCTTAAGCAGAGGCTCTGCCTTAGGCAGCTCTTAGTCATGCTTACAGGAAACTAGACAGAAACACCTTCCTCATAGTTAAGCCCAGGGTTTAGCTCTCAGCTCTGGCACCCACTGCCCTGTGAGCACGGGCAAATTCACTGAATCACCTCACAATTAAGCCTTTCCTGTATCAGGTGAGGAGTATGCTATAAAGGACCCTTCAGGTCCTTTAAACTGGAAACCTGAAGGGATTACTACTGCTGACAGATTACTACCACTAGGAGGAACACAGACCTCTACCTCCTGCCCACACAGTGCTCCTGGAGCCAGAGCAAAGCTCTGCTGACCACCACTGCTGCCTTTCCTTCCTTCTCTCACCCTCTTCCTCCTTGCCAGGACCCAGCATAGCTGTGCTGCAATTACGGAAAGGCTCTTCCACCTTCCCTCTTCTGCCCCTCCTGGAGGGGCCAAGCCCGGGGTTTGATGGGCTTCACAGAATCACAGGGTTGGAAGGGACCTCTGGAGATCATCTAGTCCAACCCCCCTGCTCTGGCAAGTTCACCTACAGCAGATTGCACAGGACAGTGTCCCAGCAGGTTTTGAATGTCTCCAGTGCCGGAGACTCCACATCCTCTCTGGGCAGCCTGTTCCAGTGCTCTGCCACCCTCAAAGTAAAGAAGTTCCTCCTCATGTTTAGATGGAACTTCCTATGTTCAAGTTTGTGCCCATTACCTCTTGTCCTATCACTGGCCACGACCAAAAAAAAGACTGTTCTCATCTACCTGGCACCTTCCCTTTAAAGTATTTATAAGTATTGATAAGATCCCCCCTCAGTCTTCTTTTCTCTAGACTGAAAAGACCCAAGTTCCTCAGCCTTTCCTCATAAGAAAGATGCTCCAAAAAAATGTTCTTTTCTGCAAAGTCCCACCCTGAGAGAGAAACTTGGATCCCAGCTGGGTAGGGGGGCAAGTGGAAAGTAACTCCGGGGGGATTCAGGGAATTCCCCACAGCAGTGTTTGCTTCCTCCAGAGAGCCTTGACCTGCTGCCAGGAGCAGTGCCTGACCTCAAAGCTTAACTACAGGACGGACACAGATCATTGAAGGTAGAGCTAATGAGGCAGAAGCCTCAGCAGTTTTATTTATATTATATATATATATATATATAAATAGACAATTGCTGTCAAAAGAAAGTAACCGACTGTGACAATTGACCAGCTCTGAATGTTCTTGTCATGGACCAAAGAACCCAGTGAAATGTATATTTTTCTATTCCAAATATCTCCTGTTTGCCACAGAATGCATATTCGTCTATTCTTCCACCCCCTTGTCTTTTATTGTCCTGTGGCCCTCAAGTCTCTTAGGCTGTTTAGTCTGTTCTGGTGGTTGCAAAATAATGTTTTGACAAAAGTTTCCTGTTTCTAATTTTCTTTCTGCCTCTCCAGGTCCTCCTCTCAGCGCTCCCCGTTATCCCTTTGTCAGGTGTGGAACCACTCCTCCCCACCTGCCTCACAGATGAGCCCATCCATCAGCTCACACATGTGAATGGCGCTTAGATGGCCAGAATGAACATGCCTTGATACTTGAATTATGGTCACTGTTATATGTGAGACCATATACTGAGATCACGCCTGATCAGCATGGATGCTGAAATGCAAAAGGCTCGTCAAGATTCCTCCAGTGGCTTGATGATTAGGAGTAGATACCACGAGCCCCTGCTCAAGGCATCACCAACCTGGAGCACCCAAGGTTGCTGCTAGCTTGTTTAATGCAGATGACTGTCCAGACAACTCACAGGGCTCACACGTGTGACCAGCAGCCCCCAGGTCAGAAGGGATCTTAAACCTTGGAGAATGCTCTAATTTAGGAGGCATCTGGGTTAAAAAGGCAACTCTGCCTTGGCCTTGCTATAGGCAATGTGGGGAAGAGACAGCTGGACCTCCCAAGGCAATCAGAGCACCCAAGGTACTGCCATCCAGAGGCTGGTTTATGAGTAGGGGATTGGACTAGATAACCTCCAGAAGTCTCTTCCAACTTAAATTATTATTCGTTCATCTGGAGCAACTGCTCTCTCTCCACTGCCCTTGGTGAGAGCAATGACAAGTTAGCCATTGCTGTTAGACACCTCACACAAGCCCATGTAAATGCTCCCACTTTCAACAACCACTGTGGGCAAATGCAGACAAAGACCAAGCAAAGTAAGATGAAAAAACAGCTAGGAGAGGAAACCCCATGCATAAGAAGCTGTGATCAGCCTCAGAAATACCAGTCCTGTGTGATTCAGGGATACAAAGGCATTGGCTGTTTGCCTGGTGAGCAGCCGAAATCAGCACATCCAAACTTCTCAGGGCAGCAAACATTTGTACAGTCCAGCCATCCGAAGCTGCGGGACTGCAGCATGCTGGCCAAGGCACATTCTTCCTTCCACGCTCCACATAGATGTCCAAATCATACCTTAATATTTTCATGTTTTGACTCCTTTCAAAATCTGAAATTCAGCTGCTGACCACTCAAAATCTTCATCCAGTAAGAGTCAACAGTAAAAACCTGTAGGTGCTTGGCCTGACCACACTGACAGCTCCAGAAAAGCAAAATGGCTATTTTGGGGCTTATGGATTTTGGAAGTAAGAGTTTCCTACCTAAATACTCCTGTTTTTCCTTGGCCAGCTGCAGTCCTTGGGCTTCCAGGCTCTCGATCATGGCTTCTCCCAGCTGGGCATTCTTCCAGGTCCTAGGGAGAGCAGACACAAAGCAGACAATGTGAGAGAGCTGAGGGTCCCACAGAGCGAGGCAGCGGGTCTCAGCCTCGCAATCTACCAAGGAATTCAAACACACAGGCTCTCATCAGCTGTGACAGAGGTTCTTTAATCTTTTCTCCATGAATGAATTAAAGAAATTTCCCTATATTCAGCAATTTTATTTATTTACATGCAGAAGCTGTAGATGAACACCGCACAGCTATTCAAATGTTTCGCCAGTGTTTTGGAGATTTCTATACTGAGCTTAGTCTCAAGGGCTCTCCAGACCAACCCAGCACATGCACAGCCTCCAACTGCAACAGGACGTACCTGGAACCCATTAAATGTATCCCAACATGCTTAAGAACCAGATTTTTAGCTTTCAACTCAGCTAACTTCCCATCTGCCAGTGACATTGTCTTCTGCAGCTTTTCCAGTATTTTTCTGCTATCGCCACCCCTCCCCTTCAAACACTAACTGTTTATTGATTCCTTCCCACAGTCTTGTATCTTCAGCCTTTCTGGTATCCATCATCCATCCTGGAAGCAATCAATCACTTCTCCACTAAACTTGTAAGCCACTAGGATTTGGTGTCTGGCCCTACACTGTGAGTTAAGTGCCATTCCCTGGAAAACAACAGAGAACTGGGGATAAAAGCCAGATGAGATGCTGGGAAGTAGGGAGAGTTAAAGGAAGAATATATATTCAGAGTATTATTGTATTATTGTAGCACCATTGAGGATCTCAAGGTCTCTTGAAAACACTATGAAACTAAGCTCCAAAAAAATGCCTGTGGAGTAGATGCCCATTACTGACTGAGTTGATGGACAGGGTATGCTTTAATACAGATATTAAATAATCAAGGACATACAAATGAATAACAGAACCAGAAATGGAGTTTGCTGCTCATTTCTATTTGTGTTCCGTGAGAAAACAGTATCTACACAGATAAAATACGTATGTAAAATTCATCTCAATCTATTTATAGAGGTGTACATATAAGAACAGCAATTGCTGTTCCAGAAATTCTGCCATCTTTGTTAAATCCCTAGGGAGCTTATTAATATTAAATACCTGGAAGCCTTCCTGTACCAGGCCTCTTTGTCAGCCACTTGAAATTGTAGTTTTTCAGAAACAGGAAGTTGGAAACCTCTTATAAAACAATTTCAAGGCAACCTGTACTTCGTCTCTTAGCATATAAGAACAGCAATTGCTGTTCCAGAAATTCTGCCATCTTTGTTAAATCCCTAGGGAGCTTATTAATATTAAATACCTGGAAGCCTTCCTGTACCAGGCCTCTTTGTCAGCCACTTGAAATTGTAGTTTTTCAGAAACAGGAAGTTGGAAACCTCTTATAAAACAATTTCAAGGCAACCTGTACTTCGTCTCTTAGAAAAGCCACACACATCACCCCAGGGACCAGGCAGCTCGCAGCTCCAGCAGCCCAAGTGCTGTATTGTGCTGTTTGCAGGCAGTTGGTTTCTTTTCAGCTAACGAGCATCTAGGATATTTCTCAAGTGCAGAGGAAATTAGAATGCTAATTAAAAAGGTGACATTTTGCCCACAGGTAGACATCTTCATCTTGAGTGAGAACATGTGGGTGTGAATGTGTTCTTCCACTAAGGTTCTCTGATACAGGATAAATCTGATCGCAGAGAAACCAACAAACAGCTCAGGGGGGCAGAGTTTATTATACGATTACTTGGAGGGTTTCAAAACGGCTGTAGCCTTTAAGGTGTTTGTTTATTAGATTCACTTTTTCAGTGCCCCCTCCCTTCCCCAGCCTAACAAGATGTTTCCCTGTCTGTAACTCAAAGGTTACTACACTCACTGCTGAATAACTTGCAAGATACACCCGTACCACTGTGTAGCATTTAAGCTTTTATTCCTCTTATCTGCTGGAACCAGTGCCGGTGTGTAACCACATCTGCAGGGAGGTACAGGCTCTGACTGCAGCTGAGGGGGGAGCGAGTGCTTTTCTTATTTTGTACTTCTTACCAAGTGAGTTTTCACCAGAAAAAGCCACCTTGCTTGAAGTGCTGGAAAGCACAGGGTCAGGAAGGCTCTTGGGACAAGTAGAAAGTGTCCTTATAATATAATTGTTAAAAAAACAAAACAAAACCAAACAACCCACACCCAAAATATCTCCATTTGCTACAGACATCTGTTCCAGTCCTTTTGCAGCACTGGGAACATCTCTAGCTTTACCTACATTTTCTTTTTCTCAGGAGCACTCACAACCAATTTTTCAAGACACTTAGCACTTCATGGTCCACAGGACATATGTGCTATGTTACCTAGTTCTCTCCAGTTAACAACCCAAGATGGATAATTATCTATATATTCATGGATATGAGGAAAGAGGGGAAACAAAGGTACGGCCACCTAAGGAGGCAGGCTATATGAAGGTAGGGCTGCCTAAATAGGAGGTGTGAGGGTCGAGAAATAAAGGAGCATAATTTTGCCAAGGGCCTAAAGGAGTAGAGATAGGGAATAGACCTTTGTTTAGAAGGCAACAAGAAGCAAGTAGGAAACGGCATCCTGGGTGATTTCATACATACTGAGTCACTGGTAGAAATTCCCAAGTCTGAACTGGTTCTTTTCCAGCAGCAGCCATAAATATCCTCCAGAAAACAAGAAAGAACCAGGACAACCCAATTTATCCTCCTTCCCCAAATGCCAGGTCATTTTTTTTTATGCCAATCACAAAATGGCCACAGCAGCATGCCACGCATATGGCATGGCAACTGCTAGCACATTTCTCAGAACAAGCACTCAACATTGTTCTCAACTGTGCTCAGCCATGTCCTATTTCATGCCTTTCGCCCGACAAAAACATTTGGCAATTTCTTTTATACCCCCCACTGCCCACCAAGTCTCCCTTCAACCAGTGCAGATAGTGCCACTATGGGCACAGAGAACACACGTCTGCTCCTCTCCCCCACCAGCCACAGCAAAAGCCTCCCTCGGCTGGATGGGGGTCAGGGCTTTATGCTTTGATGATCCGAGGGGCTGGAGCACCTCTCCTATGAGAAGAGGCTGAGAGAGCTGGGGCTGTTCAGCCTGGAGAAGAGAAGGCTCCGGGGAGATCTTATTGCAGCCTTCCAGTACCTAACGGGGGCCTACAGGAGAGCTGGGGCAGGACTTTTTACTAGGGCATGTAGTGACAGGCCAAGGGGGAATGGCTTTAAACTGGAAGAGGGCAGGTTTAGATTAAACATTAGGAAGAAGTTTTTCACTTTAAGGGTGGTAAGGCACTGGAACAGAGAGGTTGTTGAGGCCCCATCCCTGGAGGTGTTCAAGGCCAGGCTGGACGTGGCCTTGGGCGACCTGGTCTAGTGGGAGGAGTCCCTGCCCATGGCAGGGAGGGTGGAACTCGATCTTCAAGGTCCTTTTCAACCTAAACCATGCTATGATTCTATGATCGCCCTCCTTTGTGCACTTCTGAAAAGCTTTCAGAGTCTGGCAGGTGCGGCAAGTCCTAGCCACACCACCTTAGGAGTGTGGAGAGACCATCAGCTCCCCTCAACATTGAATAAGCAGTTTTCCTCCCAAACCAGGAGGCTCAGGAAGGAGTGAAGAGCTGAAGGCATCACTGAGCAGACTGTGATGGTGGAGGTGATGAGCAGTTGCACAGGCAGACACACACACACAGAGAGCCTCAGATGTAAAGAGGCAGCAGACAAAACTGAAACAAAGGAGAGAGGATAGAGAACGTTTCCTCATCCTGGGTTCGTTTTTAACTCTTCCCCTATTTAACAAAATCTCAGTCTATGAAGTTGGGGTTTTTCAAGGGCAGGTTTTATTTAGTTTTTTTCCCCTTTTGTTGGTTTTAGATAATGAGTAAGACTGGAGGATGATCACAACAAACCAAGTGCTGCAGTGCCATCAGCAGTACAGTCTCCATCTAGGAACAACAGGACACTAAACCAGGTTGCCTAGAAGATTTCAGCTGTGTCCTTTTAGCTTTCCAGTTCATGGCAGATCAATTTACTGGCCCATGCTGTGCCTTTCTGGCTGCTGCTTGGCTCCCAACCTGACTTTGCAAACATAAATCACATAATCTGTGCTTTTCCTCACATGCAGCCCATCATCAGCACTGGTTAGGCCATCACTGGAGCTGCATCGCTCTCCTCCTCCTCCGGTGCAAGAACACCAGCAGCGAGGGGAGGGAAGGGGGTGTCTCAGGCAGGTTTTCAGCCCAGTGCAGCCTGCTGTATGATAGCAGCCACCTCTCTACCTCCTGTTTTAAACACTAGTGCTGGAATATTGGAGCAAGGACTAGAGAAAACGCTGGCTCTGTGAAACAAGCAGCCGCACAGGACTTGCTTGTGAGAACACATCTTGAGGTCCTTTCCTCCCGTACACGCTTGAAAGATTAATTTGCCCCCCCCAAGTTATTGCCCTTGGCAATAGTTAATGCTAACATTGATGAAGGCAAGTGCAGGCCTGCACTGCCAAAGGAAAACCTCCAAATAACTCAAGGGCTGAATCTGGGTCTGTCCTTCTCCGCAGCGGCCGAACCTGCTCATGCTGAGTGGGTAACAGACCTCTGCCTTGGGTCTTGTGTCCCGTGGGGCTCGTGCTCCCACGGAGCTCTAACAGATTGCTTTGTGTTGCAGTTCATAGCTCCAGCACCAAAGCCAGGCTGACTGCAGCAGCACAGAGCTTGGCTTGGGCTGGTCCGCTGTAACACTGTGCTCCCCGTTAATTACAAGTGAACGTTTTCAGCCTCATAGGGTTGGAATTAACTGAGTGTTAGAAAGGCAGAGCAAAGCGCTTGTTGCTGTAAGTCTCATAGATGAAGAGTAGGCTCTGCTCTACAGCTCTGGAAGTTTCTACCTGGCTTAGGAAAGTCAAATCCCTGTTTAAGTGCTACCTCTTCCTGCATGTGGTGAAATTTAGAAAGAGACAGCTCTAGTTTTGTAGGACAGCTGCTCATTGTACCTCCTGGTGCTGAGGGACTGCAGAGCTGGTGGCCAACAAACTTCAAATCTCTCCAGCATTCTCAGCAGACTGTGAACTCAGCACTGTACACATTCAGCAACCAAACCCTCTCACCCTTCTGGGTGGGCTGGAAGAGCTTTGCTAACACCTCCTCCCCTGAGATTTAGCCTACCTCCACATTTCAGAATTAAGCTGTCTCGAGAGGCCAAATCCTGCTGCTGTGTGGCCTGAGTGCCCTAGGATCTGGGCAGGAGGGACACACACCCCATGGTCACACGATTGCCTCGGGGCCATTACCAACATCTCTGCATGACCAGTACTGCTCAGGAGAACAGGTTCGGGCTGCTGAGGTCCCTGCTCACCAGCAGGGTGTAGAGCCACATAGACAGCTGCTCACTAGCTTTGTGCCTTGCCTGTTCTGCTCTTACCTTACCCCAAATTCACACATCTGCAGGCCAGGGAGGTTTTCAGCAGATGACAGCCTGGGGTTGTTAGCAGAGTCACACTTACCACACTGCATACCAACAGGAGAAGCTCTGTGTCAGCTTTCTCACTTGGGGAGAGGATGGGTCCTGGAGCCAAGTAAAGGTCTCGCTAGTCTTGGGGACCTTCTCTGCCTCCCTGTAGTCCTTCTAGACAGGCTTTTCCCTCTTTATCCATTACACAGCTACAGAGCAGATCGAAGAGAATAACAAACAGAAAGAAGCTTACACTTTTCCAGACTCCTGTAGCATCTCCAGCCACTGAGCCTGCTCAAACTCTGATTCGGCTGCTAGAACAATGTTACCCTAGAAGAGGGGAGGGGAGAGGGAAAAAAACCAGGATTAGCAAGGCTGGTGCCTTATGTGCCTCTGCACACTCACAGCATGAACTGAACACAGCTATGGTGGAAAAAGAGCCCACTGCAGGCTTCCACCTGCGTGGGCAGCATCATGTGGGAGCAAATATGACCCAAGCCTACCACACATCAGAAAGAGATGCACACGGCAAGTAGTCAAGGTAGGAATAAAATGGTAGTGCAACATGAGCTCTAGGGCTCCTGAATATCTGTCTACTGGTCTGCTGGTATCATAAGACCTGCTGTCGGAAAGAGCAAGTTTCCTTGTTGGTTGTCAAAGCAGGAGCAGCAACAGAACCTTGAGGGGACTTGGGATTCTAAGCCACCCTGTCTCTCAGGATAGTCTGCCCAGAGAGGGTAGGCACACGCTGGTGGCGTGGGAAAGACTGCCAATCCAGCTCTGCTCATCAGCAATAAAACGTTTTGTGGTGGTGGCTTTGGGGAGTGGGGGGCTGTTGAGAAGGAAAGAAATCTACTTACATGGAAGTCTTCATGAGAGATCTTTATGGCATAAGGCATGTTGGGCTCTTCTTTGGGCTCCACAATGCAGCCTCCCAGGGGTATGACACCCTGGGGATGAACCAGAGCACTCCAATCAGTCAGCAGAATCAAGTAAAACTATTAACAACTAACCAGGAGCTGAACTTTCACCCTTGGTCACTTGTGGGCCCCTGCCCTGCCTTGGCTATCCCAGGAGGAACAACAGACACACAGTTCCTGAAAAGCAGAGGGGCTTCCGCCACCACCAGTGGTATCTGACTCTCCTGCATTTAGTTTGGGGGGGAAGGCCTCTAGCTAGAACGTGGAAGTGGGAGCTCTTATCAAGCAGGTGGTGATCTCTGAAGTTGCAGAGTCACAGTGCGGTAACATAAGGCAGGTTGTGCATCCATTACAGTCACCAGCAGTAGGTCAACACCCCACACATGCTGTGTGGGGACGGATGGGTGGTCTGCTACCCCTAACCAGGCTAGGTGAAATCAGCACCTTTGGAAGCATGTGTGCTCCGTCAGCCTGCAGTGACTACAGAGAATAAGAGCAGACTCAGAGCAAAGAGTCCCTCCGTGAAAGCTCCAGGTGGCAGAGCTACGGAGACAGCTTCTTGGGGCTGAGGCCCATGGGTCAGCAGGGGCTGACTGTGACTGCTTACAAGTGCAAGTAGAGGCTAGGAACAAGCAGCAACCAAAGCTGTTAGACCCACCACTGGTTTTGCCAACAGTATTCTCATAGCTACAAGATTAGTTGATTAGGAGATCAGGAAACCAAGGGGATATATCAACTATCAGGTAAAAAAAACCCCAAAACATTAAAGTCATGTACCTGCTGAATCATTAAGGAGTCTGAAGAGGTACTGACATGATTCTTACTTTTTTTGAGGCTTCCCTGGATCTGTGAGAAGTTTGTGACTTACCTCTTTTTCACTTGCTGGGCCCAGGGAGGCCTGTTCTAGAAACAGAATAAGCCCCTCTCCCATGCAAACACTGCTCACCTTGGGGTGGATATTGAAGTATTTATTGCTTTCAAAACTCTTCTTCTCACTCTCAGCATAGTAGAGCAGGAAACTTTCCTTAATGATGAAGAACCTTTAGGACAGAGGAAGGAAATGAATTCCACTAGAACAGAGGTCCTGGTTCACAGCACAAGAAAATCTCCGCCTAACTAAAGCTGCTTTCTGAGCAGAAGAGTTTACCATTCCCTTCTAAGCCTAAGGTGAGGTGCCTCACTTGTGTTCCTAGCCAAGAGCTAGTGCTTATCACTAAGTGCCAAGTTCAAGTGCTTTGTGCTTCCAGTTTACCGCAGCATGCACGCGTTAGTGTTAAAGGCAAACCGTACCATCATTTACTCACAGGGGGATGGAATGGTGCTCTGTGTCCAAGACAGGAGCACAGCCAAAGCCTTTTGGCACCTTGACCTGTGTGTGCTCTATCTAGCCCATGTGTTGGATTCAACCTGTTAGAAGGGACCTGCTCCTTTTTTTAAGGGTCTCTTTCACATGGGTTAAGAGCAACTAAAAGCTTATTTTTGCAATTTTCTCCCATCTCAGTATAAAGGAGAGTCAACGGGTAGCATCCCCAAGTGACTCTCGAGGCAAAAGGTTGCCCATGAGAGCACTCAGGAGCAGAAATAAATTTTAAGAGATATTTTTAAGCAGAGCTCCTGGCAAAGTCTCCTGTCGTTGACCTTTGTGAATACAAAGGAAATTGAAATTCTTTTCTCTCATATGCGTCACATTAAAATGTGCCTTGTTCTGCTCAGTTAGCCTTAGGTATGCTCTGATGAACACGGTATAGTAGCCACAGAATATCACAACTTCTGCAAACCACGCCTCTAATTTACTCTAATTTAATTGAGCATGCCCTCAAAATTGTGATTAAAGGACTGACACTGTTAGCTTATTTGGACGTTTAAAATGCCCCTGGGAGAGTCCCTCTTAGAAAAATGAGGTTGCATTTACCCTGCAGGCCATGGTACAGGGGAGAGATATCTGACTTAGCTTAAATTCAGTCTAAATCTGCAGCACTCAAAAATGCTGAAGAGCAGCTGAAAAGGTGGGGACTAGTTTAGTAGAGAGGTTTCAAAAGAGTAAATGACAAAGAAAATGTGGTCTGCATGTATTTTCTGATATGAGAAAAGAGGGATTTGGAAAGAAAGTGAAATGCAATAAGATGAAAATTAATAAAGAATGCTTTTTTTTTTTTTTTTTTTTTCCACTGCAGAAAACACTGCTGTGTAAATCACTTTCCTGTGGTCCCGAGAACAAGAGCTTGTGAGGAATCTCGAAAGGATAAGGCATTTCTGTGGATAATGAGAACATCCCCAGGAAACCCTCCTGCTTCTGGACAGAAAGCCTCCACTAAGAGGCATCAGGAAGAGACTTCTCCGGGCAGCACTTCCCAGTTGTGCAGCCTGGGGATTCCTGCACCTTCCTCTGAATCTACCGTTAAAGACAGGCTATGGATCCAGAGATCTGATCCACAAGAGCAACTCCAATACCTCCACATGCCCATCCCACCGCAGTCTTCTGAAGCAGATGGAGCCAAGCACTGCCACTAGTACAAATGAGCACAGGAATTTGGTATCAGTTTAGTTCCTAAAGCTAAAGAAAGAATCTGAAGCTGGCAGAGGATTATTATTATATTATAAGTATTATCATTATTATGCTCAGGAGAAAGCTTTAGCACTTCCACCAGTTCCTATCTCTTGCTCTTCTATCATGACTCTGGCAACGTAGATGAAATTGCCACATGCCATGGAAATGAGAGCCATGGGCTTACAGAGGGACTGGAAGACAGAGGACAGAGAGCTAAACTTCTGATTGCCTGCGGCAAGCTCAAGCTCTGGATTGGCTGTGTGCCTGCTCCAAGACATCATTGAACATCTGCATATTTACATCCAGAAATCTTCAGAACATACAAAGACCAGCAGCAATTCATGTGCCCCAAATTTTTTCTTCTCCTTGCCTGCTCATCTATACGCGTTCCTGTTGACATCAGAGGTGGGGAGAAGCAGCCAGCTTGCTGTCTCAGCAGGACACTGTCTTCTCACTTGATACTCAGGAACATCATGGCTGACTGCCTAACCTCATCTCTTGTTCCTGACTACAGCCTGGCAAAATCTCTCTAGGCAGAACTGCTCAACTCAGCGCAAAAATCACTCTTCTGCACTGAGCTCATTTAGTTAGAGGACCAAAAATGTGTTCATTCACAGTGCAGCCCGTCCAGCAAGTTATCCGAGCAGAAACAATTACTATTCACCTTCCACCCAAGGTACCTTCTTGCTTTCTCCATCCTGGGCTCAAGTCCCAGTGCACCTCCCAGAGGAGTTGCAGCTAATGTCCCCTCAGCTAGGCAACCAACGCGTGACCCCACCTGCGGCAGCCATCCGTACTCCCTCTGTATTACTGTAACAGGTTCCTTAGATGGACAGGGAGATGGACTGTCCGTGGGACTCAACTCACTTTCCTTGTAATAGGAACCTCCATCCTAAATCTCTTTCCAGTGTCGCAGATCAGGGACCAGAACAGTTTCTTCATGACAGTAGACAGGGGTGGGGAAGGAGCATCCCAGAGAAGGTGCGGGGCTGAACTGCTCGCACAACTTTGAGACACTGGCAAACAAAGCCCATTTAACAGGCGCAGTAGGCACATATCTGTGGCACACATTCCTGATCGAGTGGATTCATCCATGTCCCACCTCTGTGTGCAACAAGGATTGGTATTTTCCCCAATATATCTGCATTAACGGCAAAGGCAGCCACAAACCCTGCAGCAGGGGCAGAGCCGAGCCTGGCCAAGGCAGGTACCAGAGACACCTCCACACAGCAGACAGGGCTTGGTCCTGGTTCCTCCTATCCACATAATTTCCATGAGCAGCAGCCTTCTGCCTTTCTGTTTCATTTTTCTTCCTACCTCTTGTCATTAACTCTATAAGAAAGTCTTCTTATGAGTGGCTGCATCTTCACTACGTATCTCTAATGCACTGTTCAACAAGGACTTGATTTTTTAGAGGCATGTATTACCCCATCTGCACAATAAATGCAGAAATAACATATTTAAAGAACAAACAGATCCTGCCTGGCCAACAGACTGTCCTTAGTCCAGTGGGTCAGAGTGAAACAGACACTGTGGGGACAAATACAAAACTGAAGAATAAAAACCAACACATCACATGAAATGGAGAAAGTCAGTTCATCACTTTCAACAGCCTTTTTGGTCTGAACATCCTCAAGAAACATTCGTAAGACAGGTAAAGATCTTTAGCTATGTGTGATTTTTAATCCAAATGTTAACCCCCAGTGAAAGCCAGGGTTTAGCTTGTTACATACTTTTAGTCTGCTCCGTGCTCCTGGTAATCCCCGTAATATAGATTATGCTCCAGTGGGAAACAAAAACAAAACAAACCCAAGCACAAAGCATAGCACAGATCTCTCAGAATTGTTGTGCCTCTGGCAATTTAATGAAATTTTAGATCTCTGACCTCATAGATGTGGAGAAAATCTGTGCGGATTTGGAATGAAAATATACAAAATAGGAGTTTAAAAAAATAATAACGAAACTCTGCAGCAAATAGTGAAGGAAAAACATTGAAAATCTGTTTAGCTGATGATCTTTATGCTATTTTCTCTCATCTGTCCTTACCTGAAAGGCAACACCTAAGTAACTAAGATCACCACTTTGACTTTCAGGACTAAGTCTCCGTCCAACGACGCAAGGATAATTGATGCAGCATGATGGAAAAAGAAAGAGTAGAAAGGAGAAAGAGTAGTAGAGGAGAAAGAGTTACAAGACTCAAGAACAAGATGAAGACTGAAGCAGCAGCCAGGTGAGCAGGAGCAGAAAGGCCAAAGATGACCAAGGGAGAATGGGGAGAGACACCCAGTTAGGACTGGGATGGAGTGACACTGAACACATCTGAATCAGGCTCAGGTGTGCCAGTGAAATAAGAGGGAGTGCTGGTAACGCAGGAGAGCATTTTGAATAAAAATCAAGAAACCAAAAAAAGAAGAAACTAAGAAACAGCATTCAAAAAGCCTGGAGAGCAGCAGCAAAGGTGAGAAGACCTGGTACAACCACACACACTCCATGTGCAGCACAAGTAATACAAGAGCCATTCATGCATGGTCAACTCCTTTGGGTCGCCTGTCCCTGTGGTTAGATCTTGCACTAAGAAACCACTGAAACCACAGTGTAATTAAACTGGAATAGTGGAGGAAGAGTAACAATCCAAGTGACTCAGATGTAATGCCAGGGACATGATCTGCCAGGATTAGATACAACAGCTCCATACTGGAGAAGTTGAGATACCTGATCTCTGGAGATAAAGTGCTTTCTTTGAGGCTCAGGGGGCTCAAGAGATTAATTAGCTAATCTTTGTAAAAGCTTTTGAAGTGACAATGGCCCATGTTAAGCATTTACATGATAAAACTGCAGCCCTCTCACTGATCCTTCCTTCCAATGATGGTTTCCTGGGCACCAGTCCAGGAGAACAGGCAGGGAATCCTCATTACTACATCAGCCCAGTGCTCTGTCTCTGGGGACAGCTCAGGAAAACGATGGGCAAAAGACCTTTACCAACATGTCAGCACAGAGGCCGCTGCCGCCGCCGTACCTGTCCCTCACTCTTCCTCTCCCGCCAGCCCCTGGGGTCTCTCTCCCGCCTGCCTCCTGCCCCGGCGCCTGGCAGACGGAGCGTGGCCAAGCCGGGTGGGGAGTGAGCGGGAAGAGGTGGATGCTTCCTGACAGCAACCAGCCAAATGGTGAGGCCGCAAGGACGAGAGGGAAGCACGTGGTCTGCTCGACTCCCAGCCCTGCTGCCTGGGCTGCACGCAGCCACGCTGCTCTGCAACGGGAACTGTGCTGCGTGCTTTCTAGTTGGTTTTTTTTTAGAGCAGAAAACAGCCCTAAGTAATTATCCTTTCCATCTGTCCTGTGACCTCTTCCAGTGACCGTTGGTAGCCACTCTGTTGTCCAACAAGGTTATGTGCGTGCTTTGCAGTGCCACAGCCAGGTCTGGTCCAAGAGAAGATAAAATTTCTCTCTTAACTGTGCTCTTTCCCTCCTTCCAGCAGCAACCTGGCATCTCCGATGGGTTCACTCAGAGGTATAAGGATATTTTGTGTTTTGCTCTCTACTCTTTTCAACTCCTCATGTTCCACCTTGCTTTCTGGCTCCGGCTGACCACTGAGCAGATGCCCTCCTAGAACTGTTCCCCTTGGCCCCCAAAGTCACCTGAAAGGTGACAGTCAGATTGGAGCCTGACATTTCTATGTGGGGCTGGGCTTATTTACAGTAGAGAAGGATTTGTCACTTCCTACCTACAAAGCTACAGAGCCCCATTCATGCCACATCCAGGGCAGGTACGTGCCTTGTGCGTTTCATTCCAGACTCCACACCAGGCTGATGCTGTTACCAGTATGACTTTTGTCATAGGGAAGAGGCTAAACTGCTTGTTGTTAATTGGAATGAAGAATGGGGTGCAGCTTGGTGGGAAGAGGAGGACCATAAGTCAAGGACAGAGAGCATGACTTTCCAAAGCCACTCAAGCAGTGAGCCAAGCTTAAACTGTACTGGTCAAAAGCACCAGTAAACTCAGAAGATGATTGCATGGCTCTTGGAAAGATATTACTTTACAAGGAAAGAAAATTCACATTAGCCAAGGAATAGAACTTCTTCTCTTGGAGAGATGGGAGCGAGGATGCTGCTAATGGCGTTTCATAACGCAGCTCTGAAAGGCAGCGTGCTCAGACCTCAGCCCCGGCAGATAAACACAGGCGTCTTGGTCCAGTGCCAGAAGCACCCAGCCTGCCCTCGCTCAGTACCTGAGGCAGCACACGAATGCTTTGGCTGCAGGACAGACCGTTGCACGGGCAAGGGAAAGGACTGAAAGTGCTCCAGACAACCGCCTCACGTCAAGTCTTGCTGTCCTCACAGGTGCCATCAGATGCCAGCCCTGACTAAAACAAGGCTCTGCTATCCCTCCCTGCTCCCTGCATAACCTCTACTGCTGTGAAATTCCCAGACCTGGGATTTCAGTCACCAAAGCACTGGACACCATGCCTGGACTTTAACTTGATCCATTATCCAGTCAGCCTCCATCCTTCCCTTTTTTTAACTCAGCGTCTCCAGCAGCACTGTTGCTACAGCCAAACGAAGGGGATAAAGTCAGTGAAGTATCGTGCATCTCAACAGCCACACAGACCCATCTGCGTGGCTGATGGCCTGGTGTGATCAATCCTCCCATTACACGCTATCTTATCTCCTGTAGCTTGGGAAGACTTTCCTCAGGACAGGGAGTGGTATTGTTGTCCAGTGCAAAATTACTTCACAGCAAAGGTACTACCTGTAAATACCAAACAGGTAAAAAGTAGTAATCCAAGATTTCAGAACAAAATCTACAATGCTTAGAGATCAGGTCCTCAACTATATGTAGCAATAGCAGACTTCTTTTCTTTTAATTTATCTGGAGTGGGAAACATCTTTTCTTCTTTTCATAAAATAGTGCACTTCACCAGCTGTGTCTTGCTGGGCAAGAGGGGTAGGTGGGAGGAATGGATGAATTGCTCCTTATCCCCCCCGATGACTGACTGACTTATAATAACATACAAATTTTTTTACTTCAAAGCAAATCTCTCCTGCGATAAAACAAACATTATCATCCCTCCTGTCCTGGTCTTTTTACTCCAGAAATTCCTTCCTTCCAAACCCTACAGATTCCCTGTGCTCATCTCCCACTGGGCTGTCTCTGTTTCCCCAGGACCTCCAGCTTGCCATGCTTGCAGCTAACCTTCCACATCATCCCTGCCCCACGGTCAGGTCACCTCCCCATCTCCTCCCACCTGCTATCACTACAACATTTACCACTTGCTGAAGATGGGGGCGACTTCTAGGAATAGAACAGCACTAAATAAATAATGACAGAGAGAGCAGAGAAAGGCCATTTGCCTGCAAGAAATTTTGATTAGGAAGAAGAAAGCCTTTTAAGAATGTCTCCTCCACGGCAAATTACCTTTCCCTCCGTTATTATGTCCACTTCTTTTCTGTAACACAGTCACATTAGTTTCCAGACATAATTCATTTAAATATCAATGTTTGGATGCTGAGTAGGGAGCATCAACACAAATACTCTCCTGGGTGAAAAAAAAAAAAGGGGGGGGGGGAGGGAACAGGGAGGGAGTACGGAATAAAACCTGCATGCAAGTCAAAGATGGCTACAAAATCAGAACTGCTTCCCACATAACATTTAACTATCTTTCAGGCCATGACATCTTCACAGGTTTAAACTGGACTGCGCTGTGGTTACTACACAGAGCGGGACTGGGAAAGAGGGGTTTAGAAATGGATTTGATGTGTTGTGTCTACACTGCAGCAAAAAAGGTACACACAAAAAGGGAGTACCAGAGGCAGCCAACAGACATTGCTCATGTGCAGGTTAATTTATTCTTCTGAAAAGCCTTGAGACATGCTATGCTACGAAGGCTACAAAACCACCTTTCTGCTCCAGAGGTAGCTCAGGCTTCCTGTGCTGCCTTCTGTCAATGACTCATTTGTCCCTTTCCCCAGTGGAAAGGTGCGGGGTGGGGTGGGGAGAAAACGACATTACTTTGCTTTTCTGGCAGACTTTTTCATCAGCAGATACAAAACTACTAAAGGTGGAGAAGTACTACTACCCTTCTTTAATAGACCATGACAACAAATCCTGGGTCGCAAAGCATCTCTCTGGCAGTGGTAGGGTGAAAACGCAAGCTTCTCGGCTGCTAGTCATCTAACTGAATGATGTCTATCAGCAGTGACATTAATCTGCCATCCAGGAATGCTGGAAGGCGTAATCCATTGGATCATGTATCCCCAGCGAGCAATGAGAAAGAGCTGTACCATGTTTCTGTGTGAGTACCCATCCATAAACAGTTGTGTCTCATTTGACAACTAGCGGAAAACTCTCCTGTGAGATTCAGCAATTCGGGTAAAGAAACTATACCAACTTTAAACCTCAAACTGACCTGTCACTTCAGTATTATAGAACATAGTTCCATCCTTGATAAAAGGTTATAGCTAATGCTTTCCAGCTCCAAACTTCCTGGCTGCTTATACACAACACACAGCAGCTCGCAATTCCCACAGGAGAGAATTCAGAGCCGCCTTCGCCCCCAGGGAAGAGAGTCTGCATTTGCGGTTCCCATCACTGCCACACAGCACAGCAGCACCGATGCTGATCCACAAACCCCTGTGGACCATATGCCCGCATGCACAGTCCCACATGCACACTCAGTTCCACCTACCCGTCTCATACCCAAAAAACTTTAACAAGTGCTAATAAGGTCAAGCAGTTTTAGGGGCAAACTATATGAACTGACTCTTCCTCTTTCATGAAATGGGTGCAGGATGATTATCCAGAGGAGGCAGCTAGTCCCTGTGCCCACCCTGAAGCGCATGTAGCACAGGGTCTGGGTTGATAAAGAAGAAAGCACATGGGGGTGCCACATGTGTAAAGCAGACTCAGAACAACAGGGAAGCTATGCCCAAAGTTTCACTCCTTGTCTCTGCCTGGCTAACCGCACTGGAAGAGCTGCACACTCAGGCTCTAACTCACCCCGGCGCCCTTCGGCTTTGTGTTTCACCTGAGCATCCCTCAGCGACCGTGGCTTACCTCCTGGACCATTTGGCCGACTGCCTCCCGAAAGGTCTCTTCCAGAGCACGCCATACAGCTGCACTTTGGTGCTGATGTCCAAAGCATCTGAATCTGCCTGCTCCATGGACGGAGAAGGGGATACAGAGCTGGATTTTGAAGCGAACATTATAGATGGATCTGGTTCTAACTCTCCCCCTTCTGTGCGGCAGCTCAGGGAATCCGATTAAATGCAGTGAACCAGAAGGACGTAACCAGTCACTCCAAGCGGCAGACGGAGAGACTGGGCTATGGTTTGAATCAATAACTTGACTGCTCAGCACTCAGTCAATAATTCTCTCCCTGATGCACAGATGATGAGAGTTTCCTCATTGCGTATTGCTTCCTGATGCATTACAGACAGCACACATCCCAGGCAAAAAAAAAAAAAAAAGTGAAGAGAGCCAGAGATTAGAAACACAGAGAGGCAGAAAGAGAGAAAGCTCCCAGCAATAACATAAGCCAAAATACCTCTGCGCCAGAGTCAGCTTGGAAGGTTATTTCACTCGACATTGCAGCATCCCAGGCAGAAATCAGGGCGAGAAGGATGCTTTACTGTCAGGCATCTCTTCCTCTGACACATACCCCCAAACTCTTGCACTTGGAGGCAGGTTCTTCTCATTTGTCCCGAGGAAAAGGGGAGCAGAGTGGGTGGGAGCCAGTGAGTTCTATCAGATTGCCTCTGCCATCGGGAGGTTTTTGCTGTGCCAGCCTAGCACTGCCCACCCAGGGTACAGTTCACGTGGCTGCCGGGTTTGGACTGGGCAGTGTCCATGCTGCACGCCTTGCTCAGCCTTAAAGGGCCATTGCTGAGCCAAGTCAGAGCATCAAAATTCTCCTCACCTCCATGTCTTGCTGTATCTTGGAGATGCGACAAGCACAGCCTCTGCCCTGCCTCTTAAGTACCAGCTCCTTCTTGGCCACCGCACAGAGACATAGCAATATGTCACACAGCTCAGGTCAGTCTCTATTCTTTTCCTGTTTAGTACTCCCCCAACAAGGTTTTTATTCTGGTTCCCCAAGTCCTTGTTCCTCTCTCGAAACCCTCCCTCCCTCCCTGCACGGATACAAACAGTCCTCCAAAAGAGCCCCTCTCTTTTGTAATGTCCACAGGAAAGCACACGAGCATCATATTGTTCCTTCCTGCATCCTGCCTTCCCTCCAGGATTAGCATTTGGGAAAGAACTGCCTGCACTGCACCTGGGAAGAGCACCTGGAGTTTTGGGGTATCGTACAACCAACACAGACACACACACGCTGTGAGGCATTTGCTCCCGTTTTGACCCATGCCATCCTACGTGTATCGGCATTGATGCTAGAATTGCCAAATGTCAGCCCTTCCCAATGCAGTTATTCAGAAGCGACACACTGCAGAGACACCATCCTTTCTCATTCCAAGAGATTAGAAGCCGGGGACGCGCCAGAGGCTAGATCCCAGCACCGGACACAGGCCCATGGTCACGGGCACTTGCAAAGTGTCTTATGTAGAGGAAATGCAGACTGCCTGCTTCAAGCTCGAAGGCTGTGTATTTGGTACTAGGGAAATTAGTGATGCAGGTCCCTGATAACAGTCACTACTGATCACTAAATAAGGGAGTCAGCAAACTCGCTGCTTTGTTCCTTCCTCTCACCTGGGCTTTGACTGGCTTTTTGGTCCCAGGCAGGAGCAAATCCCATCTCAGAGTGACATTAAGGGAGAGGTTGGGGAACAGGGGAGAGCAGCAGAGATGCCTCCATCCCGCCCAAGCCCCAACTCTCGACTACAACCCTGCATTGCAGAAGAGAAGTATTAATGCTGTAGCGACTGCTCCACACGCTGCACTGAAAAGAAAATACTACTCATAACCAGGGTGTCATGAGAGGGAAGACTTCCCCTGGAATTACATTGCACAAAGGGTAAAAATGATTCTGGGCCCAACAGCGCCACCTTAATTTATAATTTAGTTTATAAATGTGCAATGAAAAGCCCCAGAGCTCCCGTGTAAGGATGGTCCAGTGCCCCTGCCATTGTACCGCACCAGCGATGCAAAGATCTGACAGCAGTGACCTGCAGTGACTTCATCCTTTGCTTCTTTACTTAATTTTATCTCGCAGAGATCAAGGAGAAAAGAAGTTTCCAGCCTCAAACATCAAAAAATGCAGATATTGTCTCTTCTAGAAGTTTCTAGGACAAGCAAGGGACTGAGTAGTCACAGCAAATTCTTTAGAGTGGGTAGCTCTGGAGGAGTGAAAAAGCAACTTGCTTTTGTAAAGTCACCAAGAGTTAAACACAGGCAGGAGCCAGCAACACTGGGGCAGTAAACAGCAGTGGGGCGAGTTCTGCAACTGCTGGTGTCTGGAAAAAATAATTTATAATAACAGTGGTTACGTTAACCTTTCCTTTAAGTGTGTACTAATCTAAATAAATGGGGGGGCCTGTCTGACGGAAAGAGCCAGAGCGCAGCACAGGAGGTCTAAGCGACTTGCCTCTCACCAACAGAAGGTCACGGCATAAGGGACAGCTTACCGGCTCTGCAACGTTACTTCTGTTAGATGCAAAACTTAACTTCAACTGGCCAGGAGCGTCAGGATCAAGAGATCAGTGTCACAAAACCCAGCCAAGAGAAAAGCATCAACCACAGGGTGAGTAGGGAGAGCCGTGTCCTGCAGAAGTGCCTTCTCCAAATGCCAGGGGACAGAAATCCTTACGGAAGCACGAGCAGGCTTGATTTTGCTGCAAGACCTTGGTGAGACCTACCAGCCCAAAAGTACACAGACATTAATACTGTGCATAATCCACTTGTATTTAACCTGGGAAGCCCATCATTTCATAAGAGCAGAGGAAGGAGACTCAAATATACGAGACCGCAGCAGGACAATCGTGTGACACGAGTGCAAGAAGACAAAGGTGGCCGCGCTCTGCATTACAAGTGAAGGCAGGCGTAAGCCCTCGTACCAGACCCACATGGGATCCCATCCGTACAGTTCTGGCCAAACAGATTCACTAGCCCTGAAGAGATGCGGAAAAGGCCTTGAGGGATGATCACAGGTATAGTTAACCCGCAGTATGACAGGAAACTAGAAGGACTTCACTTATTTAAATGAGAACAAAGGTGACAATTTGGCTGCTGCCTAGTTTCAAGCATTCTTTCCCCTCTTAATGTATTGCTAAAGGTCGATGCTTGCAATAAAACAAGTGGGCCTAAATTGGCCATGAATAAATGAGAAGGCACGTAACTGCCACAGCAAAGGAACTGTGGAATTGCCTCGCAAAAAAAAAAAAAGCAGCAGAGATGAAAAGCTGTTACTGGGTCGGATCCATTACCTGCGCAGCAACCTGAGGTGGCTGTGCCATCCAGGGGTACAGATTAGGCTCACCCTCTTTCTCTGAAGCATTTTTGTTCCAAAATAATAACACAAAGATTTTAGATGGATGTTTGGTTCTTCATGGCTCGTAGGGGAAACACAGCTATACACCCTGGGGAGAAACCACTGGAGCTTTACTCAGGAAACCTTCCTGCAGAGAGATGGGTTGTACTAATACAGGAATTATTTTGCTAATATGTTGTCCCAATTTTTCCTACACCTTAAGCCAATAAAAATTTGCTCATCATTTAAAAAAAACCACCAACATCTGAAGCAGACAGCAGTGCAAGCTAGCACAGAAGTAACGCTCCATCATCATAAGGCATCCTCCAGCTAGAAGATAGTCCCTTTTGGTTTAAGGATGCACATACTAGATACCTGCAGCCAATGAGGAGGCTTGTTTTTTAGTTTGGGGGGGGTGGGGTGGGGTGTTGGTGGTTTTTTTGTTTGCTTGTTTGGGGTTTTTTGTTTGTGTTTTTCTTTTTCTTTTTTTTTTTTTTTTAAAGTGAAAAGTTATACCTTTATATTCTGGGCAGCCTTACAATAGTACTTTATGCAGAAAAGAACAACCCAATCCTTGGGCTGGGGCCAGGAAATCGAGATTTGGATCAGAGCTGCTGCAGAATTGGAAAGATTCTGATTTTACCTTCCAGTATGGATTCCCTCTCCTCTTACAGCTTCTGATAGACTCCGTAGCCATTTTCAACCCAGAGAACCATTAGCAATTATGGGAGGTATTAGCAGGTACCTGGAACAATGTGGAGAAATAAAAAGAAAGTCTAGCTCCAGCTTAATTTATGATATATCACTCTTGTAAAGGTAAAGTGTCACATGTAACTATCAAAATGATGCTCCAGCTTCCCAGACGTACAGCTGAGTGCAGAGGCTGTTTTAAATAGAACAAAAACAACCACCGTCAACCCATCTCTTTTGCACAAGACATTAACAGATCGTGTTTCTTTTGCACGTGGTTAAACTTTTAGTGTCTCACGGGAAGTCAGAGCTGTCCTGCAGAGCTCAAAGAAGAGAGTTATTCAGCAAAGAGCCTTTGTAGACTTGACATCTTCCTTATAGATACATAATCCCACCTGACATCATCCCTTGGTGAGAATCACATGGTCTCGGTGCGCCGTTCCAACCAAAGCCCTCCATCAGTCCTGGCCCTTCAAACCCACCCAGATCCATGTTGGACGGCCCATGAATCATATTAATCAACCTATTAGCTATGGATACAGCACCACTTCAGGAGACTTACAGGAAGACAGAAAATAAGATGACAGTTTACTGAAGCAAAGGGATTTGATAGCAAGCAGCCAGCCCAGTCGCTTTGTGGACAGTGGGCACTCACAGCCTGGCTTTTGTGGGGTGGTTTCCTCCGGGACTGACACCACAGTCAATGGCCATTTCTCTCAGCATCTAAAGGAGATTTTCTTTTTTTTTCCCCCCAATCATACTAAGAGATCTCTTCTGGAAGAAGACTCATTCACTCTGGTGCTTAAAAAAAAAAAAAAAAGAATACATCAGAGTGGCCAGCTACATTTGAAAAAGCTTCCTCCAGAAGATGGCCCGTAGGCTTCCTGCAATACACCAGTTTTTCCCCCATCAAGCCTAAATACCACGAGATGATCACATGGCTTACATAAACAGAAAATGCTTAGTACTGGAGTCGTTAAATAAGATGCTCCTAACCAGTAGTTTGTTCAACAGCAGTAAATAAATACAGCTTTGCTTGCTTTTCTTAGATGACGAACCCATGGCACACAGTCCCTTCCCTTCCTCCCTGGA